GGGAGCTTCTGGATTCTATATGCGACAGATTAACCTTATGTTCCTGCGAATGAAATCAAAGTTGAAATTATTGCGAAAAAAATCTAATTTCTACGTTCAATTTTGTCGCTACGATGATACTCGATGTATTTCTCGCTAATGGTACTTACAGCGAAAAGTTTGAGATATTTGCTCAACGCTCCGACGGAGTCCTCTTCTTTGAGTGAAAAGATCAGGCAGGTGCTCTTTGCCGAGTCCTTACCTTCTTTGATGTAGTTTCCTCCATGTATCAGCGTAGGCTTTTGAAAATAGTAATATCGTTAAAGATGCGTAGTCCGATCGTTTACGTGATCGCATAAAAATTCGCTTGTCCCGAAATATCAATTTTAAATTTAACAGTTATGTTAATGAAGATATCTCATCGGCTAAATGTATTTTCGAGAGGAGCCGATTATAAACCGAATTGTTTTCAAATTCTTCCATAGGTACGTAATATGGAAAAAGGTATATTGAAAGAAGGATATGTTACAACCGTATTAGTTGTCAAATTTAATACTGAAAATAGTTTCTAAGTCACATCGAGCAAATCCGATTGTTCCAAGTACAAATAATCTACGAAGCATAGCTGTAAAAATAAAAATCGTATACCGGTTTAATGAGATTAAAAAGGTCGGAAAAAACCTTTTCGCAAAAAAAAAAAAAGAGAAAGAAAAAGAAAGGAAACTTCTAAATTAAAGAATCCTTATGCAAAAGTGTTAGTCCTTACATCGTGCATCGCTAGCAAGACTTGAGAGTGATTCTTGCAGGTGAACGGAGGTAAAGTTTTTTCCTCGTAAACCATGTTACGACTTATCGTCCTGAGACACGTTTGCAGAAACTACGCTCCATTAATCCGTCACAGGTACTTATACATTCACCGACAATTTCCCCTTCCCCCTACTTTTTTAACTATCGTTCCTGATTTCTCGAACCATCTTGGGCATTTTACAAGAAAGAAATAGGCCTTGTAATTTTCCCGATAGCTCGTTCCTTGACTTTGGACTCGTTGCATTATCAGGAAGAATGAAATTCGTGATAATCGATTAAATTTTCTAGGAAAATTGGCTGATGAAAAGAACACAATCCATTATAGTGCAATTTTTCGTTATTTTTGCATCATGCTGACCATGACGAAGGATTGCTAGATGTCAAGGCTGATTTCACTGGACGAAACTTTTTGCTCGACAAACAATGCGAAGAATGCGATGCAAAGTCGTCGATAGTCATCACTGTTGATCGCTTCGTGATCGAGGAAACATACAATACGTGTCCTCCTTGCAACGTTTGGCTTTGGTAGACGATGGAGGAAATTATTTTCGTTACTTTATGATAAAATTAAAGGAGAAGAAAAAGAAGTGAAAGTAAATGGCGTAATTTTTCGCCGTGTGGATTTCTCTTGGACAAATCGGAGAGTTCGTTTCACAGAGAATACTTTGAAACGAGCGATTCGATTTCGACAACTTCGTTTTTCCGTAAAAGCGTATCGTGTATTTTTCGAAACGTTTAAAGATCGATAATCAAATTTGAACAAGAATGTACGAGGTAAGTAGTTATATCTACAAATTACTGTACTTTTAATCAAGCATGTTATTAACAGAATTATCTATAATCTGATGTTCACATATGATTAATTTCTCAGTGCTTTGGGAAATGTCCGATTACAAATCGATGATTTGTGCATGCCAGCACGCAGACTTGAACAATTATATAATAATTGTACTTGTTAATAATTATATAATTTACTTATTAGAAGAAAAATTTACTGGAAAAGAACTTGTGCAAAAAAGCGTGCAAACTCGTTCTCTCGCTAACATATATATATATATATATATATATATATATATATATATATATATATATATATATATATATATATATATATATATATATATATATATATATATATATATATATATATATATATATATATATATATATATATATATATATATATATATATATATATATATATATATATATATATATATATATATATATATATATATATATATATATATATATATATATATATATATATATATATATATATATATATATATATATATATATATATATATATATATATATATATATATATATATATATATATATATATATATATATATATATATATATATATATATATATATATATATATATATATATATATATATATATATATATATATATATATATATATATATATATATATATATATATATATATATATATATATATATATATATATATATATATATATATATATATATATATATATATATATATATATATATATATACGTAATAAATATTTTATCGCCGTGTTGCAAAGTGAATCATTATTTACATAGCAGGATTATAATCGACACTGCATAATTAGTGAAAATCGTTCAACGATATATGTAAATTGACATGTAAATGAAAATGAATTACGAACTTATTTTGTTACTCTGGATCAAGTATCGTGACAAATAAAATACGCACATTCGTGTATTATAATTCACGATATACTGATATACATATATAATAGCTGCTTCAAGGTTTCTATGATGTATAGTTCAGTTACATAATAATTGCATGTTTATGCAAATGTTTAGATTCATATTAGATTAAGCTTAAATTACAAAGAGGGGGGCTTATAAACGTTTAGCTGTTCTTAAGAAAATAAATATTATTATGAATATTACCATAATGACGATACAGATAGTAGTGTAACAACGAAGCAATGCGTATAAACATAGGTGATAATTAACGTACAAGTTCTCTTGCGATTTATTCGAATCGTACTTCAGAAACTGTATCAGCGTTTTCCTTTCTTGCTCGCTTAAACGGGTTTTCTGAATTGGCCGTGAACGTAAAACGCAATTTAGAGCGAAACTGGTCTCGAGTGCATTGTGATAATCGCATAATTAAAAATCTCAACAACAAATAATTACGCGATTGTAATCGAAGTTTGTGAATTTCGTGAATGTACAATCGAGAATTATATCGAATGTCGAGGTGATTTGAAATGAAAGTAAATTAGCGAGACAAAAAATGTATTGTTAAATTTTTCACCGTATTAACAGAACATTGTCAAAATGTATTATTAAATTGCTATCGATAAGAACTAAAATCGATAAGAACTATAATCACTTACGGTGTATACGTAGTGACAATTAATTTTTTACCGAAGTTTCTCCGTTTCGTTTCAGTTTACGTTTCAACGACGTTGGGGAAATTCCGAAGAAAATTCATCTTTTAAGGATAAAGCTGACGATACACAGAATAAAATGTTTATGTACTTCGTTATCGTGCTAATTCATTTACTTCCTTACGATATGCCAAAGCTAAGATTTTCATTCTGTTCTCAATGTTATCTTTTCGTAAATTTTCCCTTACCTTGTCAAGGATCGAAGAATCGCACGTGTCATTTTGAGACATCGGTTGAGATTTTGCAATAGCTTTCGCGTACATGTCACGATCGACGGTATGAGGCTGCGAGAAGAATTAAAATAGTGTCACGATTTTCTCGAGACGAGCGTCTTGATAGGACTGGTTCGTGTCTCGTCGAGCTGGTCTGTTTTAATGAGATGCCGCTACAGGTTTATATATGAAATATTCGATCATGAGAATAAAGCAGCGAATAAATACCAATATAACGAAGGTGAATTTTAAACGATCAAAACACACGATGTCTTGGTTGAACAGATTGAAACGTCTCGAGTAATGTCTGTGAGTAATTTAATATCGTTATATTTCGTCACATAATGATTTTCACATAGAGCCTACTTTTCACGATATCGATAGCCCGAGGATGTTCGTGAAACTCTAGAAAATGTAAACGTGCAAGAATGTAACAGCCTAAAGTTAAAGTAAAACGTTTATTTTAATTTTATTGTAATATCAAGAGAATAAAAGACGCAAAAAGATGATAAGTCGGGAGCGTGATCTTTCTAGTCGCATAAAAATGATTTGTAATGATCAGCAATTTGTCGTTGCAATACATACAAGATGAACACTCGGCCATTCGTTTCCATCGACTTTAAAATGCGCGATATATCGCGCAGTAGATATCATCGAGACAACGTGGAGAAGAGAAAGTTACATTCTCTCATTCATTAAAATTTACGAATCGAATCACAATTTCGTAGAAAAAGATAGTGTAAAATTAACCAGTTACGTTCCACAAAATTTACGATAAGGTCGCTCACAGATATATCGTTATTAAGCGAAATCGGAAAATACAATAAAATGAAAAATTTTACGAAGCAAATAGCTCTTCTTGAAGCTTCTACCGCTGTTTAACGTCGTTCGTCCATTCTTAATACGATTAATAATAATCAAATCGCGGCAATGTAATCGAGCCCGAGTAACTGTTTACCAAATATGAACGCCAATAGACGCCAACGGACGCCCAAATAATTTGATTGGACGTGCTGTTATCAACGTTTGACCCTCATACTGTGTCTTAGCGATAATAAGTCACGTGGGGATGCGCGAGAGTTATTAACCCTGTCGTAATATAGCGAAGATTTTATATTGGCAGAGCAACAAAATGATGATAATTCGAGTATGATCTTTGCTCCAAGAAAGGCAAGAAACTCGTTGAAACGTTAGTATCTGTGAAAAATTGTGTTCGATCGCAAGAGCATGGAAGAAACTTGTCTTCTCTCCAAAGATTTCTAGTTAAAATAGAAACGAATTTCTAATTAAGCGAGTCAAAACGCTATAGAGAACGAATCAACACGTGCGTTAGTTCGGCCTACTTGAGATGTAGCGATGCTTTACTACTCGGTAAGTGGATATTAGCTTCGTCATTATGGAAATCGCGTTTGTCCGCGTTTCTTCTCGTTTCATCGCTTGAAACGATTCTTTCCGATTAAAATTACACGTTCGTTGTTATCTAAACGAATTTGATTTCGTGAGAGGAAATTTGTTCGAAGAAGATTGTATATTTATTTATAAGTTGCGGGAGAATTTTAGTGGAAATTCACGTTGCAGGCACGAGTACGACAAAACTGTGATCAATCTTACATGGATTCCACTTATCCAATAGCGAGAACGAGCCGATCTGCGATTTGTATTTGCGTCCATGCTTCCTTAACAAACGTAACGGAAAGATTTTACGAAAATAACAACGTGCAGAATTCACGATCACCTTACGGGTGGAAGAAACGGGTAGAGATAAACAATAGACGAGAATGGCCCTGGACTTTTTCGCCGGATGTGTGGGAGGTAGATAATTCGCTTCGTTCAACTTCATTTGCATTTTTTCTTAATGCTGCTACAATCTCGAAATTTTTATGTGCCAATCTCACTCTTGTTTCGACGAATAAATTTTTTGTAAGAGACTGGAGACCTTCACGTCCCGAATTATCACATTTAACAACGCGTTTCTAAACTTTTGAGTAGAAATCGCGTGCAAAAGAATTTCTTTCCTTATACGCGATGTCGTCGTTGAATAACGTTAAGCGTGTACAACGAATCTTGCAAAAAGACGAAAATCTTTAGAATAAAATGAATATTTACGAGCAACTATAAAATTATAAAAATAATGCCGCTAGAGGATAACAAAATCTACGGTCTTCGATCGGTCTAACACAACGTGTCGAACGATTATAATTCTCGTCGTAAAAACGATCGTTACGATTGCTTTCATTGATAATTTGTTAGCTTTGCGCAGAAAAAAATGTAACGTATGTGATTGAATTTTATCGGCGGATAAAAGCTTGGTGACGGGAGGCGAGAATAAGAATGGTGAACATTTTTATTTTTCTTCCATTTCTTTCACGATTAAAATATCTTCGTTTCGCCGAATAATCTATACAATAACCATAGAATAAAATATTGCAGGAGAAATACAAACGTGAAATAATTTGTTTTAGGGTGCGCCGGTATTGTGGTGGGATATCCTTTGGACACGATCAAAGTGCACATGCAAACGCAAGACTATCGCAACCCGAAGTACAAAGGCAACTGGGATTGCTTTCGGACGTTACTCGCAAAAGAATCGGTATTTTATATACACAAATCAAGAAACTAACGATCGAAGGATAGCACTGATCGCAAGAATAGTCAGAGACGAATATTTTTTAATAACATAAAGTGAAGTAAAAACTGTTAACAGCTATTAGCTACTGTTAAGATACGATTGGAATTAATTCTCGTCGTACGATAAATCGATCGATCATCAAATTTTAATACAATTTTCGAGTTCCAATCGATACGACTAATTGTTCTAGGTAGCAGGACTTTACCGGGGTATGTCGTCTCCGCTGGCAGGCGTGGCATTGGTGAACGCCGTGATCTTTGGCGTCTACGGTCAAACCCAAAAATACATACCCGATCCTGCCTCGTTGACCTCCTACTTCGCCGCTGGTGCCTTAGCAGGGATTGTTCAAAGTCCCATTTGCAGTCCCATTGAACTAGCAAAAACACGTATGCAACTGCAAGCCTCCGCCGCTCGATTCTCAGGTCCGCTGCAATGTCTCAAACACGCGTACACGCGCGAAGGATACCGCGGCGTATTCAAAGGCTTGAACGTCACGTTACTCAGAGAAGCTCCAAGTTTCGGTGTCTACTTCCTCGTGTACGAAGCTTTGACCAAAATGCCGGATAACGTTCCTGTTTCGACGCCGCGCATGTTGTTAGCCGGAGGACTGGCTGGCACCGCTTCTTGGGTGATCTCTTATCCTCTGGACGTGATCAAATCCCGAATTCAAGCAGATGGAAATCGTTACGCCGGATTGATCGACTGTGTGAGACAGTCGGTGAAAACGGAAGGATACTCTTGCCTGTACAGGGGACTCAGCTCGACCATCGTCAGGGCGTTTCCAACAAATGCCGTGACGTTCACCGCAGTCATGTGGACTTTCCGACTGTTGGGTCGAGAGAACGTGGAAACGAAGAAAGAAGAAGAACAGATATCGATGGAATCGATCGGCGAGAGTCTGGATATGCGCGAACCCTTCTTGGAACAGTGGAACAATTTTTTAACCAGCGTGTCCAGAAGAATGGCGACTCGTGGATTACCATATTCCACGTTGTCGATGACGTCCACGGACGAGTTGAAGCTAGAGTGGTCCGTCCAGTACAAAGATAACGAGAAATGGACAAAGGAAGGGGTCAAGTACGGGGAACAAACTCGAGGAGACAAATTTGGCAGAGAAGAGGAAGAGAAACCGACGACATCCAAGGAGGATGTCGAAAATTCGAAAGAACTTGTTGAGAAGAAAGTGGACAGAACTGTAAGACGCTAAACACGATTTTCTGAGTTTCAGAAATCTTAGAAATGTACTAGTTTTATAAACAAAACTGACGAAAGTACCGATGAAAATATATCGTTGAGAGGTGATATGTGACGTAATTCGACTGACTCTCGAGAATTTATTTTATTTTTATATTCGTGTTATGATTTTGTTTGTTGTTGTTGTTGTTGCCGTCGTCGTTGTTGTTGCCGTCGTCGTTGTTGTTGTTATTGTTGTTGCTGTTGCTGTTGCTGTTGCCGTTATCCAGCAACCATTTTTCTCAAATAATTTTCCTCGAAATAAAGAGCTTCGATCCGCTCCATGAACGTTAACCTTATCGTGTTTAATGGATTTCAACGTGACATTATCTTTGATATATACGTATGAAATTCCAAAAAGCATCAACCTACGACTAAATTCCCGCTATTACATATCTCCGTCTTACATATTTCGTCAAATATCTCTTTTCCATATTCGTAAATTATTTCCTCGGTTGTCGCACATTTATCGAAATCGCGCGCTAACTATTTCCATAAATGAATTAAAAGCCGGTTTACAAGCCCGATCTTCCTACTATGATATAACTATCTTGAATCTTGCCATCAAGGTGCTCATTTGTTAGAAGACAGTCCTAGACTGAACGGCGGACATGTAAGACCTATGTCACAGCCAGAGGCGACATTTACTCTCTTTTAAAATCACACAAAATAGTTTGTATCTGTCTGCCACCCATCTCCTCCGCTCCACTCCGCATCGTTTCCCTTCTTTTTTTTAAATCTTCATCGTACAATTTCTGGTCTTCGAGTCCGTCCGTCCACGTGTCAGAATCATTTTTGACACATACGAAATTGCAACGCGTACAAGTATCAGTCAAAGACATTTTCCACTACAATCGGTACCGAATCGTAACTCGACCGTCGATTACGATCAATAGTATTTGCTCGATCGAGTTTCGAAGAGTAAAAATCGTAAAAATTGCACCGTCTAATCGATAAAAATCATTGCCAAGCACTGGAAACTCTAACCTCTTGGACGATTTGAAAATTAACCAAGTGACCGGTATTCTTCGTTTCACAGGTATGATCATGATTATTCGTTAGTTAATCGATAAAGAAACTAATTCGATTATACGATCAATGACAATTTTAGACGATTCGTAACGAACGAACGAACGAACGGATCAAACGTTCGTCTCGGTAAATTACTTTTCATTTTCGTGAATTACCTTACTTACTTCTATATCAATTGTCTACTATTTAAAAAGAAATACGAAAAGTATTCAAGGGATGGAAATCGTTAATCGTTAAAATAAAAGATACGATTAGAAAATTTTCAAGCGTCGCACGATCGTCGGAACTGGATAAAGTGTTTCTCCACCTTTGTCGTCGCGGATCCTCGAACAGATTCGTGGCCGAATTTTGAGGAAATTTGATATGGATGTAGACTCGAACGACAACAGCAGAGATATCGATTTGCACGAAACCAACACGCAACGACTGATTGCCGAAAGCGGTGGCCGATGTATGAGCACGCAAGCGATGCAATCGCTTTACGACTTCCGACAAAACAACCTTCTCTGCGACGCGGTCTTAAGGCTCGAAGATGGAGGCGTGTTTCCGATCCACCGTGCCATTTTGTCAGCTTGCAGTCCGTATTTTAGGTCTCTATAATTGCACACAATATGCTACCATATTACGTATTATGTATTTTTTAATATCGTATCGATCATTTGTAGAACTTTATTCACGACCACGTTGCACTCGCGCGAGAAAACCGACGTGCTTCTGCCTGGTGTCAGTAGCAATATGATGAATCTGCTTCTCGAATACGCGTACTTGCGTTCCATCAACGTAAATAACGAGAACGTGTGTCAGCTGCTGGTCACCGCCGATTACCTAAATATTCTCGGCGTTCTCGATTTCTGTTGCGAGTATCTCAAACAAAATCTAGCGCCGGAGAATTGCATCAGCATCATGAGGTTCGCAAGGGAACATTTCTGCAAAGGACTGGAAAACAGCGCGTATCGTTACGTTATGAGACATTTTGTACAGGTCATTACGCTTTCGTTACTTTGTTAAGATTCTTCCATAGCGCTTGATGACGCTTTTAACTTTGACAACGTTCACGCGGCCCTTTACCTTTTCCTTTCGACAAATTGACAAATGTCTGCGATCTTTCTCTTGGGAAATAAAATATTTCGTTCTAAAGGAAAGAAGTGTAGCGACGTTACTGGTGAGTCGTATCAAAATCGAATGTCGTCAGTGACATAATAAAATTAGTATTTTATACTCGATCGATTCTTCGGCTTTTTGTCCTTATTGGCCGCGAACTCGGCGTAACAAACAATCACAGCGACGGTTCGATTCGATGCAGGTAGCTCAACGAAGCGAGGAAATTCTCGACTTACCGATCGAAGAGCTAACCGCTCTGATCGGAGCCGACGAACTCAATGTTAAGAGCGAGGACACGGTTTGGGAACTGGTATTAAAATGGATCGACTACGATCCTCAATCTCGAAAAGAATTTATCGTCGATCTGATGAAGAATATTCGCCTTGGCCTCTTGGATACGCAATTTTTTCTCGAAAATGTTAAAGATCATCCGTATGTTACTGGAAACGAAGCCTGTCGACCCATCATTATCGAAACCTTGAAATTCTTGTACGATTTGGAGATTATTACACAAAAGGATGGAGAGGTACCAACGCCGAAAATAGCGCGACCGAGAGTTCCCCATGAAATACTGTTCGCTATAGGTGGATGGAGTGGCAGAAGTCCTACAAATTTCATAGAAACCTACGATACCAGAGCGGATCGATGGGTCAAGGTAGATATTTCATTAAGTTGAAGTAGATTACGCTTTTAAATAACAGTTGTCAGGTCGTTTCGCGTTTAACGAGGAAATAATCGTAACTATGTAAAATGATGAAAAAATAAAGGTGGAAGAAGTAGATCCGATCGGACCTCGTGCGTATCATGGAACTGCGGTGGTCGGTTTTAATATTTACGTGATCGGTGGTTTCGACGGTGCAGACTATTTCAACAGTTGTCGTTGCTTCAACGCTGTCACTAAAATATGGAGAGAAGTCGCTCCGATGAACGCTAGAAGGTTACAAAGATCAAATTTGAAAACTAAACTGTATATAAAACGTTCGATTCCCTTCTAACGGATGTGTTCGATCGTGAAATTTTGTCAAAAATTTCCACACGATGAATATCTTCTCGAACAAATTATCTGAAATCTTAGGTGTTACGTTAGCGTTGCCGTACTCAACGATCTAATTTACGCGATGGGAGGATACGACGGATATTATCGACAAAGCACCGCGGAACGTTACAACTATAAGACGAACCAATGGTCCTTGATAGCACCCATGAATTGTCAAAGATCGGATGCCAGTGCAACTACTTTGAATGGTACGACTCCGTCTTAATAGCTTTCTTTCTGCCCTATACATACATAGCTAATCTAACTGATACTAACTTTCGCTACTAATATAGACAAAATTTACATCACGGGCGGTTTCAATGGCCACGAATGTTTAAATTCGGCCGAGGTGTACGATCCAGAAACCAATCAATGGACTATGATAGCTCCGATGAGATCGCGTAGGAGTGGAGTATCCTGTATAGCTTATCACAACAACGTATACGTTATTGGTAATCGTTCAAATTCTTATCAAAAGAATTCTTTTCTGCGCATTTCTTACCGATCGAATGGCAATTCATTTTTCTAGGGGGTTTCAATGGAATATCAAGAATGTGCAGCGGAGAGAAATACAACCCTGCGACGGATATTTGGAGCCCGATCCCTGATATGTACAATTCGCGTAGTAATTTCGCGATCGAAGTGATCGACGACATGATTTTTGCCATTGGTGGATTCAACGGTGTTACCACGATATATCACGTCGAGTGTTACGACGAAAAAACGAACGAGTGGTGAGTACGAAAATTCTTTTAAATCGTTCTAATCTTGTTTCTCTTCTCTTCGTATATTTGCGTTGAACAGATTTGCCACCATAATCTGTGTAAATGGAATTCTGAACACAAATTATTGCTCTTGATGTGCGTTTAAAAAGAAGATATTTTCCTCTGATCACATTTTTTATTTTATTCACGCGCCAATGGATACCTCGGAATCGATCGCTGCTTCTTCGAAAGTGTCGAACCTTTAAAAAGTCTCGTTATAGATTCTTTCTCGAAAAAATGAGAGGCAGAAAATCGTGTAAAAATAGCGACGACGATGTTACGCTCGTTATGCTCTCTTTACTTTCTATCGTTACAAATTTCTATCATTAGAAATTTGGAATTTTCATACTATGTATTAAGAGTCTGCTTCGTTCAACTGTCTGATTCGATCGCTTCCTACAGGTACGAAGCAACAGACATGAACGTATATCGTTCAGCGTTATCAGCCTGCGTAATCATGGGCTTACCAAACGTAAACGACTACATTCATAAACACCGTGAACGTTTGATGGAGGAGAAACGACAGAAACTGTTAGCATTGGAAGTTCACCGCAGTCAACATCAACCTCAACAAGATCAAATCCAGCAAAATAGCGAAAATTCTTTCAACAACGAGATACCCACACCACCACCGATGCCTCAAAATACTAGTTCCAGCAACGAGAATCGACAAAATTAACGATAAAGATTTAAGGAAATATTTATAGGACTATAGGTTGGTTTTACGGTCAGTCGAACGGACGATAATCGAAGTAATGGAACAACGAATGTTCAAAACGATTTAATTAGCCTACGATTATGTTGGAAGAAAATGCTAACGCGATTGATGGCATCCGTATTAACAAGAGAACGTTTTACAGATTTTATATCTTCAATTTGTTGAGAGTAATGCTGGCAAATGTCGAGGATGAAACAATCTCATTTTTTTCGATTTCGAAATGTCTCTTTTGATATAATCGTAGTCTCCTTGCAAATTTCGGGTGGTAGAGTAAATCTTAAACGTGATCCTAAAGATCCTAAAGACGAGAAAATGTAACGATTATGAAAGATTTATACAGCGTAAAATATCCTGTTGTTAACGATAAAAAAAGGGATAGCTTTTTGAAATGGAATTTTAGAATCGATAACATGCTTGTTAAAACAGGATAATATTTTCAGATTCGTGTTTACCGGAGTTTGTTAACCGACATGTGTTTTATTTTTTTATACGAGACATATTTTTATTGCCTGTTTTTATGATGCAATTTTTTTACCAAGTTTATTGAGCGATTGTATACATACAAACGAATTATATGTGTGCGTGAGAAAGCCAATTCTAATAAAGAGAAAGGCACGATCTACGATATATATTTTTAAAGTCGATGAAGAATATCGACTAAAACTGCTGAAATGGAACTTTACAACGATCAATAAAAAGACATTAACAAACAAATTACGCAGCTTTTACTTTGTATCGATGTTTCTGTGTTTTTCAAAAATCGTTCATATTGATCGAAACAGCTGTTTCTCTCTTTTTTTTTATCAATTGCTATACAAGTGTTTTTAGATTGTGCTCAAATTAAAAGAATTTGTAATTATAGATAAAATCATATAACGCTTTCGTGATGTATGTAATTCGGACATATACTTCTTCCATATCTCATCAAATTTAAGAACTGGTTTCAAAAAATTAAGTAAGCACTTACGTCTGTTACAATATTAGATACCTGTTGTTCAATATGCACACACACATATATATGTTTTATATTTCCGTGATTTTTATTCGTTTATATAAAACTGCTTGTAGAACGTAACGCAAACTATTTTGTTTGTAGTTTGTACGCAAAAATATATTATATATCTGTAACTAATTCTGGGACATTTGGAAGTAGTATATCTAGGAACTTTTCGTTGTTTGTTGGTCAGTATGAATTGTGAAACGTGTTATATTTGTTAAAGAGTAAAGAGCGAGACTATGTTCGACGTGTGTTCGACGCTGAACGATAGGGAATAAGTAGAGTTACGAAGTAGTTGTCAAAAGTTTAATTACCGTTTGCGGACTTCGATGTGCTGTAAATTATACAAATCGGTGACAGAATGGCGAAGTAAAGTTGCAAATGGAAAATGGCGAAAGTCGTGAAAGTATCCGAATCGCTACCTACCGTTCTGATTTGTGAATATTGTACTAACCTTACGTTCAAGCAAATAGAAGATTTCATAAGGTGGGTCCACCTGTCCCTGATCTATTTGTCATAAAAAATATCTCGTAAAAAATGGCTCTAACTTTGGTGCATTTTTAATAACCTGGACAGTACAAATCATTTACAATTCTCGATAAGTTTTGTACACGTATTGTATCATACTTAACTTGTATCTAAATCGCATGAAAAATTAATTATATCGCTCGCGGATCCGAATATAGATTTTATAAGATAAATTACACACCCAGAAAGTATAATATAGCGACAAATGAACTACTCGGAAACTAAACTGATCAATTTCAATTTCTGAAAACTTTTTAATTTTGATACTTTTTAAAATACACGCGATTAATGTTTAATTTTTCAAACACTAAGCGATTGACCGTAATTTAGTTGATTAGTTTGGCTTCTGTACAACTTAAACGTTAAATGTTATTAATCGCCAGTATGTAATTTGATTTCAGACATTTAAGAGATCAGCATTGTTCTAGGGAAGGAGGTTCGTTTGTGTGCCTTTATGGTTATAATGGAGTATGCACTAGTCTTCCTGTGGAAGGTGTTTCTGACAAAGATTATATAGCACATGCTACTAAGCACGCAACGATGCAACAACAACGTAAAAGCAACGGTCAATTGTCAGAGCCTTCTTCCTCGTGGACTGTGTATTCCGCAGCACAGAATTTACCAGCTGTTTTAAATGATCCTTTCAAAGGAAAACAAAGTAACTTTTTAACTCGTACTTGGGGAGACGGATTCGTAGAGAAAGTCGATATACCTAAAAGTCCCTACCTTCCTGAAATCACGATGCAACATTTTGAATCGTATTTAAAGAAAATTACAAGGGTAATTAATACATATGCTTAAAAGTGATATACTTATTCCACCGAAATATAACTAATCTAAAGATCGTCTTTATTACAGAGATACCGAAAACATTCTCGTATGAATTCAAATGCCAATAAATCGACTACGCCTAACGAGTTGTTACAAAATTTCCCAAGTTTAAGAAAAGTTAAATCTTTAGGTAAATATAGTATTTATATAAATATTATAATGAAATAGCGATATTTTCTTTTTGTTACGTGATATAGAATTCTTAAATTGAAAATTTACAGATCAAATGCAATTTGATTTATCTAATATCCCAAAAATCTTCTTGATACCTAATTTGGATCTTTCTCAGAAAGATAATTTTTATGCTGTATTTCCATTTGCCAAAAATGGATTATTAAATGAGGATTCTAATATAGTTCTGAATGTAAAACAAATGCAAGAGAAGGTATACCAGTGATATTAAATATTGCATAAAATACAAGAATTAAAATCAATAATGTATTTTAAATTTGTTTGTGGAATAGCTAAGTCATTATTTAGATGTTGTTGAAGTTAGAATAGCAGAGCAAGTTGCTTCCAAATCTCAAGCATTTTTCCATGCTATGACTTCTCACGACGCCCTAATGGAGCAACTTACACAAACTATCACAGTTTTGAAAGCCCTTAGAAAAAATATACACCAAGTTGATAAGCATCTAGTCAATGATTCTTTGGAAATTTTAAGGTGAATTATCAAATTATTTGACGTTTCACGGTATTATATACATTTTTATTTGGATATATTTCTAGGTTGGAACGAGCGAGATCTAATCGATTATTGGTTCAAGAAAAGTTGAAACTTATGGCTACGGTACACCAAAGTCAACCAATGATACAACTGTTGTTATCTACACCCGATTATGTTGCAGCCTTAGATCTCATTGCTACAACACAAGAAATACTTTTACAGGAATTGAATGGAGTACATAGTTTTAGGTATATTTATATAAATAAATATTCTGCTAATAAGATAAATATATACATGTGCATATATATAGATATATATATATATTTATATATATATGTCTTATTTACCTTTTTTCTGTCTTGCTTAGACATTTAAGCTCTCAATTGACAGAAATGGAAAAACTTGTTGATAAAATGTTATCTACAGAATTTCAAAGATATGCAACTGCAGATTTAAACAGACCATTAGGCGAGGAAAATACAGTTTTGGATGGTGTAAGTATATGTAAAATTTTTACAAATTTTACATACTTAGTTTGTAGCAAACAAACCTTCATGCATCTCTTCCCAGTGAGATCATTTGTACATCCTCAACGAACAGGATAAACTTGTTTCCATCATTTCTGGTCTCCTGCGGCAAAAACATTTTCAATTTGTGGATACTTACAAAGAGGAAGCTGTAACAACGGTCCGAGCTGTAACAAAACAGAGGGTCATAGAAGCTTTAGCAGCGAGTGATTGTTGCAGTGATCAACAAGCTGCGGCTTTAGAAGTTGGTGGACTTTCCCTCGCGGAAAGATTGACATTACTTCACAATGCTATACAATCTTTAACATTCCTCTTGTTACGAGTTAAGGTATATACTACATCATATTTTGAAAATTATTCTTTAATAAAATATAATCTTTTGACACAATACACATTCCTAGGCTGTTCACGATGTAATGCGAGATACAGTAGACTTAGCGGCAGGCCGAGTACGTGACGGATCATTCGATGATACGATTCCCGATTGCTTATTAACTCAAGCAGAACATTCGCGAGTAACGATAAAACTCAATGATATGATAACTTCGATTTGTGATTATTGTCATGAGCGAATGGGAAATCTGCTTTCTGCAGGTACAAATGATAAAGATAGATTACAAAGCGAAAAAGAGAAACTAAACAATGAAAATTCAAATAATAAACAAGAAGAAAAAGAATATCAAAATTGGAATGATAAATCATCATGGTTGAGCAAAAGGGCAACAACAGCTCAAGTATGTCAACTAGCCAATTTAGTTGAAGAGTTTACAGAAACTTGCGAAAAACTCTGTGGTAAACAATGCACAGGTTTACGATCTGCGTTTAAGGTGTGTGCTGCTTATATATAAATTATATTTTGTAACTTATAGTTTCTAATATAATATTTTTTATAGGCACAAGCAGGTAAATTCATTCAAAGATTTCATACTGAGCTTAAGACAAAGCTTACCCTTTTATTAGAATCTGAGCGGTGGAAACAAGCTGATGTACCACCAGAATTTCAGTCATTAGTAACATATGTATATGAAAACAAAGCTTTTCCACCGAATCTATTTAAAGTTGATGATAAAGTCAAGAAGGATAATGTCCAAAACTTCATTATGATAGAAGATGAAAAATATGCCATTGTTGGTACAGCTTTAATGCTTATACAAATGATACACGAATATTGCAGGTAACATTTTAATTCTACATCTATGAATATTTTGTGAAACGCTCAATGAAATTTTATTTTTAGAACTGGCAGTGAACTGATAGCTTTATCAGGAACAATTGGAAGACATTTAGCTGAATTACTGCGGCATTACAATTCACGTTGTTGTCAACTTGTCCTTGGAGCTGGAGCAATGCAAGTTGCTGGTTTAAAGACTATTACTAGTACAATACTTGTATTAGCAGCACGCAGTTTGAAACTTATTTTGTGGTTTATGCCTTATGTTAAATCACACTTTCAAAGTAAGTTGATTCTTACTTAGCATTCAACTTACGTTACGATTATGATATTAATACTAGAATTTTCTTCTAGCGTTTGCAGAACAAAAACCTGGTCGTGGACTTGGTGCATCTAGTATAAGCGGTGGCGTTGCATTACTGGATAGCGTTGAAAAAGATATCCGTGCACATGTGAAAGAAATTGAAAGCAAAATTCTTACTATTGTCGACAATCTACTAGGTGGTCAAATATCAAAATGGACTGCAAGACCACCAGTACCATCAAAATCATTTAGAAATATTTCTAGGTAACCATTACACGATTCAATTATTTTATTATAACTATAATTACTATACATCTGAAATTTCTAATTACAGTTATTTAATGAAATTACACGAAGCAGTTTCTGGAATTCTTCCAGCAGTTGAAGTACAAACTCTATATCGTACAGTAAATATATCCTTCAAAGAAAAACTTAGAGAACAATTAGTCAAAATGAATATAGTGAATAACGGTGGTCCACAGCATGGTGTAGTCACATCTGAACTTACATTTTATCTAGAGGCATTACGGAAATTAAAAGTGTTACCAACTAATGAATTAGATGACAATTGGATGAGTGATATATGGACCAGATAACATGCAGAGCGCGTGATATATTGCATAATAGAAGCAATGAAATATTGTAGAAAAAGGTGACTAATCTTTATTACAGTCTTCCTTCACATGCGTTACATCTCAGTGATTATTAACGTTTTGACGGATTTTTAAAAATGTGGCTTGTATTGAAATTATCCATATAAATATGTCTAATTATTTTATTTATAAGGTTGTATGGAATACAAGATTATGGTTTGATAATATTAATATGTGTATGTGTATATATATATATATATATAATATATTCTTATATACATATATATATGTATATATATATATATATATGAAGAATTAACAAGCAGCATTTTTATAAAATGCTCTATTCAATATTTTAAAAATATGTGTAAATAATAATCGGTTTTGTTTAAAAAAATATGATATTACTTGTATTGTTTGTTGACATCTCAATACAAATTGTAAGTTAACAAGATTATTAATATTCGATTACACATATTTTGCGTCTCCCAAGTAATCTTATATGCCATAGTGTTCAAATATAAAATTTCATATGTAAGTATGAATAACTACACAAAGAAATCTATACAAATAGTAGAAAATTATTTTCTTCCATATCAATAAGATTAAATATACGAAGTTTATTTGCAATTGAATACAATAGTAAGCATGTCAGAAATTTGTTATTAATGAAATGATTCAAATGAATTGAATTTAGCATGTACACAAAAGTAAGCATGCAGTAGAAGGACCAAGATAGGTACTAAATTACTTGTTCATTTTTTCCATAACTATTTATGCGTTATTTGGATATCTTTTATTCTTCAAAATTAGAATTTTTTTTAAATATAATATTACAGAATAAGAAATTAGAAATTTATACATTTTGTTAATGAAACGTATCAAGACCTAAAATATGCATAAGAATAATGAAAGATGAAATACGACTGCTTTTATTGCTGTGTTCATTACTCGAACTGATTATAAAGAGTACGTTGACAGATAGATTGCGACAATGATTATTTAAACATTTTTATATATAGCATACTGTTCGCATTAATCTGTTTTTATTGACAGATTATTGAATGACTAATTTCTAAATAGTAAGCATATCTTACTGTTGAACATATTCTTTATTAGAATATATTAATATGGGGATTTTTATCAAAGTTTTTGAAATACCCTGTCTCTCATATTCTTTTTTGCATATGTATATGTATATGTATATGTATATGCAACAAACGTATATATCATAAAACTACAATTGCAAAAACCTAAGTAATAACTTGCAAAAAGATTAAAAAATACTCCATTTCAAGTAACGTTTAATTTCTTATCACGTGTGTTTATTTCTATTCAAAGATATTGAAAAGAATTATAAATTACAGCTTAATTACATTGTAATGGGGATTTTATAATGGATTGTAAATATTTCTTTCAACCTCATAACCAAAGATAAGGTTACTAATAGCTAATATTCTTCAGTTACTAATAAATTATACAGTTACGATGTGGCAGGCTTATATGACTTTCTGAAATTATGTTTGTTTAGAGTAGTTTTAATTTATTATAAATATCTGGTATATGGTGCATTCCGTTATTAACTTCATCTAGTCCATTTTGTACATAAATAAAGACACTACAATAATTTCTTGTATTTTTCTAATTCATAAACAATTTATTTAAAGAAAAAAGCAAAAGCATTATGGTATAATAGAGACACCTAAAACAAGTTTCTCTAACAAAAGAAATTTTAAATTAGCAAGAAAGTGACCGCGATTAATTAATGTAAAAAGTAATCTTGTAAATTTAATCGTCGAAACTCGTGATGCCTTGTTGGATATGCATGTAGAAATAAGAAAATATAACTACTTCAATATATAACATATTAAACGTCTTTATTTCGCCAGATAAAAGGAAATCTTGAATTTTATTTATCTATCAATTTTATGAATGAAACATTCCATTGCTCAGTTGCTATAACAACGAAAATCAAAACATTTTCATAACCTATCCAAGTACGGAACGATATAGAAAATATACTTACATCACTGTGCGATTATTATAATATTTGTAAACATTTGTTCGAAATCTTTGGGTCAAAAATAAAATGACAGATCAAAATTCGTATGTATCTATTAATATGTACATATACTGCAAGTTATTAACATTTACGTTAACTTGAAATATTTTAATTATATATTTTTAAAATGTCGAATATTTTGTACATTTATGAACACTAATGCAGACAATGAAAATACATAGATATTACGTGGTTATGTTTTAGCGAACAAAATGTTAGAGATCACGCTTTGCGTCTTTGTTTAGAAGAAGAGCAACACCGTAAGACTAATCCAATTGAAACACATGAACGTTCATTTATCATTGTTGGTAGCAAGAGGGTCGTATGTAATAAATTGATTAAAACTATTAAATAATGATCTATCGATAAAAATTACGTACTTATAATTATGAAGAAGAAATATGTATTCTTAGGGTAAAACTACGATCGTACATCGATTTCTCGAAAAAGATGAGGCACCGAAACCAACTATCGCGATGGATTATTCTTTTGGACGTAAAGCTGGGAAGAGTTTAGTAAGTTTTCATTTATTTTATGATACCATATCATTCAAATAACAAATAAGTATGAAATTAAGTATACAAATTTCGAATAATGTTTAGAGAAAGTTAAAATTAAATTAATTGAATAGAAAATAAATAAGAAATATATCAGTCGTATACGTTACAGTGCAGAAAGTATCATTTATTCGCAAGAATCAGTTAAGAATATTTCATTCGCTAAAATATAAATAATCATAGTATATCGATAATTAAAATAACAAATCGAAAATGTATTTAGAAACAGTAGAAATAAAAAAAAGACAAAACATGTTATTATGTAACTGTGTACACACGTTATGACGATGACGACAAATATTTAACTGTATCTTTATTTCTTGTTTAATTCTTATTATCGGCGCAGATAAAAAATATCGTGCACGTTTGGGAAGTAGGACATTTAACTTCTTCATTAGTATCAGCCGCAATGACAGGTTCGTCTTTGACTCATTCTCCTCATCATGTCACGGTATTGATTATGTTGGATTTATCGCAACCGGAGATTTTATGGACCACTTTCGAAGAAGCTTTCTCGGTAGTTCGAAATGCAATGAAAATGAGTTATGACGATAAAATAATTCAGGAACTCAAACAACAGCGTATTAAAGAACGAAAAAAAGCAGTGGAAAGAGAAGTCGATCCATTTCCGATGAAACTTTGCCTTATTGGTGGAAAATATGATCAATTTAAGGTATTTTAAGCATATTTTCCAATGTAAAATATATCGTTATAGATGATTCTTAAATTGAAAACTATCACGAAATAATAAATTATTTAACGATTTTGAAATAGGATTTAAGTTTGGATAAAATAGAATTAGTTGGGAAAATATTAAGAGCTACAGCTCACGTTTTAGGCGCAGGACTCTATTATCATTCTGCAAAAGATAAATCTTTATTACGAAGAACTAAAGACTTGTTATCTCACTATGGATTTGGTATTCAATTTTCGTAAGTTTCTATACTGATTATCAAAATAATAGTTATATATTTTGATGTTGCAAAGTTTTGACATTGAATCGATATACTTTACCTTTTCTTGAAAATTACAAATCAGCGATACCAAGTGCACAGATTTTGAGAAGCCATTAGCGATATCTGCCGGTGCAGACTCCCTCTCGTCGATCGATTTGCAATTTCCTCAAACCAGACCTTCGGCTATCTTAGATACCATCAAACAGATTTACGTTACTCGTATACCGCAAGAGTCAAGAAGCAACGAAATTATTCTGGAGGATCCAAGTAACGACCCCAACTTTAATGAACCGATCATCGACAGATTACGAGCTCAGAGAGAAGAGGTATCACTGAGTAATTTAATTTATACGTTGCAGGGAAGGAGAGAATTTGTTTTTCTTTTTAATTTTTTTAAGCAGGATTTTTCTCTTCCAAGATTAATATCTTAAATGGCTGTCTATTGCAATCTTATTACGGTCTTTAGCTTAATTTTACTAATACTATTCATCCAAGAAACTGAAAGTAATTTATTTGTAGGAAATCAATATTCTACTTCACGATATGTTGGAAGGACGAATACCTCAAATTCCTATTCCGGATCCATCATAGAATTAGATAGATGTGTGTCGTCATATGGATTTATCACAAGTACATGTAAAAAAGGGGAAGAAATCTTTCGAGCGAAAGAAATCCCCCTAACGCATGTTTGTCACGTACTTGATCTTATTGAGATTGAAAGAAATCTCCGACAAGCGAAAAATTTCAGTTTACGTAGTTTGTATTTAACATGTTACTATCTGAAAATCTTATTTTACTCAAAAGGCTTATTTTACATTTTTACGTTTACATCAACGTAGATATGTACACGTAGAATCTACAAAATCCTGCTTGCGATATTGTGCTCTTTCTAGTTCACATGTTAAGCTATACTACAAGAGGCATGAATGCCTACAATGGTAACGTCGATAAGGCTTACGATAAAGTGTATTTATCGCGTTTAAAAAGAGTTATGGTATAGATTCTTGTACAAGTAATCGTACGATGATTCTACTAAGTTTAATATTCTTGTACGAGCAAAATATTTAAAAATATTAATATTAGTAATCGATGAATCTATTAAATCGATATTTGTAACTAGCTATGTGTATATATATATATATATCAATTAAAGTACTTTTATTCCTGAATATGCATATTATGGTTTCTAATAAGCGATTATTTTAAAATTCAAATGTTTTGTCGAAGAATGGTCATACGAAATTTTATGAATATACAGAATTACGACGAATGAATCCATTAATAAATTATTCGTCTACTAGATGAAAAATATCCTAAATTCGCCATAATATTAACACTAATTTAACGACACGACGGTATTAAAGTTGTTTCACTGGAACTTACTTTCATCGAAATAAAACGACTGATCTTCCTCGAAATCAATCATTCAAATCGTACGATTTCGATTCTCCGTAGCGATGAAATTACCCATACTCGTGTCATCGCGCACGCGTCTGTTGTTTCGCCCTTTCCCAACAGCGGTTCACCGTGAAATCGAAGGGAGTATAGGGTATAGCGAGAACGAGAGCGTAGGGGAAAGGTGGGGAGGGTGTCGTCGCACGGTTCCCGATTTCTAGCGGCAGTGGAGTAGTGCGCTGATAAGAGCAGCGGCGGCGAACGGTGACGCGTGCGCGTTGCGGTGCGATGCGCATGCGCCTCGAGGTACACGGGTCGCTCCCGATACGCGGATAGTCGGAGTCGAGAGTTTACGAAAACGGGATCCGACTGGGGGGGTTTTCGCTGCGTCGCGGGCCTCTCGCTTTCTGGCCTCGGTTTCCTCAGTGAAAATGCCGCTGTGATAGAGGCGCGCGCGGTGCCGTGTGCTCTGTCCGGGCTTGTCGCGCCCCTGCAACGAGCCAACAGTGTCAACTGTCCACACCAAATTTTATTGCGTTAGTGGTTCCACCGATTCGCGACTGTTATCTTCCCGGCGCTTTTCCCTCCCTCGCTGTCTCCTCTGTCTTTCTCTTTCGTTCTACTCTACTGCTTTTTCCACCTCGTGCATTCTATCCTTCTGGTTATTCGCGCGTTTTTTTTACTATCTCGCAAACCATAGATCGGTCGCGCTCTGTGTGTCCCCACCTTCACGAAACGATACCGCAAGATTTGACACTGGAAGATCGTGACAGTGTAGAAGTGTCGCACGAGTTTCGTAATCGTTTGTTAACGGAGTTGCACCGACGATTCGAACAGGTGAGTTGAAAAAACAAGATCGACATGGTGTCGGTGTCAGTGATTGGCTCCTCCCAGATCAGTGTCGTTGATCGTTACACCTGTCACTGCGAATCAGGCTTCGGTAATTCGATCGTGTCGAATCGATAAAACCAAGAATCGATGGTTGGTTCTCGTCCGACCGACACGATGTTCGAAATGTATATCGCGATGATCATAGACCGCCCCCTCCTGCTACTGCTTCTCGCGATTATCGATTCCGGTGTGAACGCGCCCTGTCTGGACAGTTATCTGGTCGTCCTTCTTGCACGCATCTTTCTTATTTGCGGGATTAAGTTTTTTCAATGATCAATATCGGCCCGCATAAATACAATACTGCTTCGCTAACTGGTCACGAGTAGGGACCTTATCTGGCTATTTATCGAGGAAGGTACACTTTTAATAACGACTAATTGACATAGACGTCAAAGGCTCCATCAAAGTCGACGTATAGGCTAGATAATGTGGTTAGATTTCGTTTCAAGACAAACATTTTTTCAGTAAATAAGTCGGTGAAATTCTAAAAGACCACTTTCCAGCTTCGGAGAAAATATTCCCTTGGCGCTGCAGTAGAATTCAATTTATCTAAACTCGTTACACGACAAACAATTCATATAATTAGAGTTTGCCAATTCTTCCATCGTTCTTTCGTCATTCTTTGTTCAAATAATAGAAATTCACGGCCAGATACATAAACGAATTCGACTGACAGTAGTTTGGTTAATCGAGCACTAAGTACGTTCTCGTCCGAATAAGTGCGCTTCTATTCTACTAAATATCACTTACACGGCCGATGCGTTCTTTCGTAGTTTCATGTGCGTGCGGAGAAAGCATAGAGGGTTCCCTAATCGCGTTCGCGAACGCGTGTTAACAGTTTAAGCGTGATTTTGGTACCGTAACTCACGAGCAGAAGGTAACGAGTCTTTAATGAGAATTAATTACACGCATCGTGACGACTGAGTTATCGCGAGAGTGTTTCGAATGTTTATATGTATTGATAGCGGTGCTCTATATGCAAGTGTACATTGTACATATACGCATATAATATACCGGTGGAGAAATTTATTTTCGAATTTGTACACTCTGGGTCTGAACATGCTTGTCTGGGAGATGTTGATCAATCACTGGCGTGTCAACTTATTCCGCTATTCTCTGATTCACTGATTTATACGGAAGTATGTAGATCGGAAATCTAACTTAATTATATTATATACGTATGATAGGACGAGACGCATCGTATGCGAAATTACATATCTGGCATGGAAATGATGAGATCGTATGTACAATATAATATGACTAAACGTTTGATATTAAATATCGCGAAACGTTTGATATTTTTATTAAACGTCTGAATTGTACAGGTGATAATCGATCTTTTAAGTAATCGATCGCGATCGACCCATTGGATCATATTTAGAACTATAAAAAGATTAAGATGACAATATAAAAGTGTCTAGTATAAAAGTATCTATATATATATAGAATCGAGAGATAAGTTATGCAAAATGTTGAAGATTTCGAAATATTATCTCGTATTTGGACGCATGGGACGCATTGCGCCCAAAATCACGTATCACAGCGATGAAAGCTGAATAAAATTTTGACCTAAGAATTTTAACTATCTTAATTGTTATTTTAGTCATTTTTTTCTCTGTGTCCTGTGCAGAAGTGAAAAACTATCTGTTTCAAAAAATAAGTCTATAATTCCAAATATGGGTTGTATAATACGTAAAAGGTATTGCATTTGTGCTTGCATAAGAAGTAGCTATACCAGCCTAATATCAGAAATGTTTGTTGCATCTTTAGTCAGATAAATATAGCGTGCATTACAATGTCGAATCGGTCGATATACAGACCTATTGCTAACTTTTCTCAGTAGGTACTGTGCTCGACGTTCAATTATAACTCCTTATTGATTGCTCAAACTATACACTACAGGAGCAAAGCATTAGTTATTTGTAACAAAGTGGACGACGCGTAAAAAGATAAAAAAAAACTCTACGTAACGAAATTATCATACCCAAGTGACGAATTAATTCCTGTTCCGCAGCTAATAAATTAACATGAATTGAAAATAGGTTGACTTCAAACTGACATGGTTAATAGAAAAGCAACTATTACTTTCTGTTCGTGAAAAAGAGTCACGAGAATTAGCGAGAAATAAAAATTGTCCACGAAATCGGGTCAAGATCTGATCAAAATCTTGAGTAATAGATGTTACATGTTAAAGCAACGTGTATATATTTTTCACAGTTCCAGTTTACCAAAAGAGGTACAGCTGCCATTTAGTCTATGCCTCGTTTACTTCCTACGTTCCCTTACTTTATCACATTTCGAATTTGTTTCTTTGCTTTACTCAAAAATTTCTCGCTCCACTACCCGCTAAGAACTACCAAGGATGCGTTAGCCTATGAGATCAAGATGAAGATAGCTATCGGACGAAGATTTCATTTTGCAAACTGTTTGTATCTTTTATTGAACAAATTTAAATTTGGTAGATTGTAACCAGTGGATAAGATCTTATCGGAGCCAGAAGCTAAATACACTTAACATCTTTTACAAGACGAACTGCAGCACTCTGTGGGAGCATCGATATCTGAAAAACCAAAGATATAAGATACATTTGCATACGGGAGCGTTGTACAAGCAAAAATCGGCGAATAAAGACAAAAACGTTTCTCGTCGACGGTATTGCTTTGATACGTAGCTGAAAATTACGCTACTAAAATGTTTATTACGTGAATCAAATTAACCTTTGAAACTTAAACGACTCCACTATACTACATGCTACAACATGTTAAGAATAGATAGTAAATCTAGTTTGTAACAAGAGTTGTTTCGGTGCTAAGCGATACTTAATATGCCTGCCTTTCGCAAAGGAATAATTTACGAGTGGTCGTGATAAAGGAGAGAAACTAGCGGTAATTACGAAAGGAAGCCTCTCTGAATCTGACCGAAGATGGCAGTGAGAAAGGTAGATAACCGAAGGATACCGAAACTTATTTCTTAATCTTATCTCGTTGTATTAATCATAGTCGTGTTGGTTCGATTTCGATTAGCGTTATGATCTTCTTTGTTCGTTTCTGGAAAGTAATTGTGTCGACAAATATTCAGGTAGGTTTCATTTTTACGTATAACGTAGTTTACAGCAGGAAGAGTGTTGAAAACGAAGAGCAAAAAATTTGAAATATATTTTATATATTTATAATACATAATATATATTCGAAGTATATAATTTGGTAACTCTATACATAAAATGAGTTACATGAGGACATATAGCACAATTGAAATGAACGATCAAGTCAATTTATTGCTTACGAAACTAACATTTTTCGCATATCATTCAGAGTACTGTAGTTATTTCAAAACAGAGCGCATGCAATTTTATTGAAATTACGACACTCAAAGAACAATGTGAGTCGCGTTAGTCTCACATTATCTATTGGGCATTAATATTTATATCTTCGACTATATATATCGACTACCGCATAAGGTATCTAACGAAATATAATTATAGGTATGTTTACTATATTAAAACGATAAAGCTCCCATGAAATCTTCTCTTATTAGCGATATTCGCACGTAGTATCAGCTATTCGTCACTCTTTAAGAAAGTTGTTACAAAAGATTATTAATGTTCGTTGTTCTTGTCCAAGGGACGAATTTGGATGATTTAGAATTTCTTGTGATATTGTTTATTAATAATACCGATATAGCTTCGATATAGCGTTAAAATCTTGGCGTTATTCCTGAAAAGATTCAAACATTGGTGAAACGACATTTCATGCGCATCGATTTGATATTACGTAATCGTAACATCAAGATATAAGAAATTGTAAGGACTCTCACGCAAGCTGTTTCTCAGAGCAGCGCAAAATTTTCTCGCGATTCGTGCGTTGATTTAACGAATAATCGATGAAAGGTCCGATAACGATCTTGCTGGGTAACTACGGATAAATTGAACAAATACTTCCAACAGACTGTAGGGCACGTAGATACGTGTGTGTGCCACGTGGCAACCGGGTCAATTGTATTCCATAACGAAGCAAATGCTCGTTATCCTCCGAACAATTCGATCATTGTCCTAGGGAACGCTTTGAAAACGTGGAACGTGCGTCTGACACTTTAAGGATGAGTTTTTCGAGCAACGTAGGTTGCATTGTAGCGTAAAAATGTTTATCCCTTAATTATAGACAATTCATCTCTGGAAGAAATATGAATTTTTATCTCATTAGTACAGTGCAGCGATGAAATTTTAGGATTTGAGTACCTCCGGTTGTAAAAAACCAATATAAAAAATAAATATACCTACACAGACGTATCGTTCGACAAAATAGTTGTAGTAATAATCAATGACTGTGTATTGATAACAGAGATTAAACCGAAAATGTAGGTAGAATTGTTCGTCCCTTCGATGTCTTAAGTTTGCCTTTTGTCTCGACGCTTCCTTAGCCTACGATCCAATTAGATAGGCCATGCTATTGTCCTTCGAAGGTTTATTAATTCTACGTCCAATTGTACGAAGTTCGAACCTCGACTCTTCGAACTTCAAGCTGTGTATTCCATAAATATGCAGGAAATGCGCTTATGTATATTATCTCATTATCATATCACGTATATTATCGTTTTATTTCATCTTTTGCCCCGTTTTCCCTTTTTCTTTTTGCTTAGAAGATCGACTCGTTATTTGTATTCTATTACGTGTGGTAATTAGAGATAGCCATAATCCACCGGAACGATATATATATATATATAGGTATGATCGATTATTATTATCGTGTAATTAGCATAGCATAGAAGTATCGGCGACTTACGTAAAATACGTAATATAATAAAATATACGTGTATTTGCACAATTACACGCAGTGTATTAAAAAGCTTTTCTAAAAAGGAAGCTAAAAAGGTAAAGGTAGTTGAAAGGAAAGAGAAATATTTGTTTGTTTCCATATTTCTGAAAGAAGCTACATTTGCATTGTTTTAAT